TTTTATCGCTATTTTCAGATGAAATTAGAGCCCAAGTGCTTATGTAATATACTTAAGTGACAGCCAGCAGGTAGTGGAGCCAGGATTCAAACCTAGGCAGTTGGGTCCTAACCAATGTGCCTGGGCTAGGCACGATGATCAAATATTATTCCTGATCTGGGCACCCACATGGCCCATGCTATCCAACTCAGAGAGCTGGGTAACCTCCTCCCTCCCTAAGTAATACAGTTGGCACCAGATAACGTCAGTAGGAGCCTGGGCCAAGTGCACAGAATCAGTCCTGAACATCTGGTGGGCCCACAGCCTGTGTTATGTGGGGCACACTGTGTGCCACCCTTTTGCCCAAAAGAGTGGATAAGGTGGTTTCTGGCACAAACTATTTCCAGAGTGACAGATCATTTCAAGGAGAGGCTCTCTTCACAATAACAACATTCTGAATTTGAATATTAACAACAACAACAGCAAAAAGGTGTATAGGTATTTTTGAATATTCAATCAATTTTCACATAGGCATTGTCATTTGCATTTCATAGCTAGAGATTTTGAGGGTTGAGTGGCTAAGTAGCTCCATTTAATGTTTCAGTGTTAGCATTACAACAACCAATCATCAGGTATTCTGTTGGATAATGTATAACTGGTTATCTCATTTAAAACCTCAAACCAATCTTGTTGTTATGATTCACCATTATAGAGTCGGTTCTGACTTTTAGTGATCTGTACAGGGTTTCCAAGGAGTGGCTGGTCGTTTTGAACCACTGACCTCATGGTTAGCAGTCCTGTGCTTATCCTACAGTGCCACATAAGGTATGAAGTCTTATTTTCTCTTATGATTAGCCTCAGGAATGATAAGCAACTTGTCCGAGGCTACACAGCAAAGAGTGAGTTGATATAGTCATATCACTGCATTTGTAGGATACTATGCTATAGGATCGGAGTCCTAGTGTGGCACTGGGGGTTAATGCGCCAGACAGCAAAGCCATCTGAACTGCAAGGCTGGTGGTTCAAGCTCACCAGCTTCTCCTTGGAAACACTATACACGGTTGCTATGGGTCGGAATCGATGTGATGGCACTTAACAACAACAACATGCTACAGGATCAGTACTGGAATGCAAACCACAAGGTCGGAAGCTCAAACCCACCAGCTGCTCCTTGGAACCTTATATAGGGTTGATATGAGTCAGATCCAACTTGATGGTACTTAACAATAACAATGCAATATAGCTTACAAGAATTTTCTTGTTTTACAAAAATTTGATAACTTAATAGTTAATAATTAAAACAAAATATATAATAAGTGAGAACCCTGGTGGTATACAGCTAAAGCACTCCGCTTCTAAGCAAAAGATTGGCAGTTTGAACCCGCCAGCAAGTCCATGGAAAGAAAAATGTGGCACTCAGCTTCTGTAAAGATGTATAGCTTTGGAAACCCCATGGAGCAGTTCTACTCTGTCCTATAGGATTGTTGTGAGTTAAAACTGACTAGATGGCATGGGTTTTGGTTTGGATATATATAAACATGTAATTGAATCATACATTGTTGTTAAGTGTGGCTGATTCAGTTCAAATCATACATTGTTGTTGTTGTTAAGTGCCACTGAGTCGGTTCCGACCCATAGTGACCCTATATATAGGGTTTCCGAGGAGTGGCTGGTGAGCTTGAACCGCCGACTTTGCAGTTCAAACTGCTTTGCAGTCTTGCACATTAACCCACAGCACCACACCAGGAATGCAAATTATACATAGATATTTAATATTTAATAGCAATGTAATATTTCTAATAATTCTGGGAGTAAATGGATCCTGAGTTGCTTTTAATTATAAATTGTACCCTGTTCACTTCCTTAATAAACCCTATAATCATGGGTATTATCTCTGAGTCTGTGTGGCTATTGCAATGGGTTATTGGCCCAGAGATGTAAGGATGCTGTGGGAGGGACAACTGGTGTCAGAGTATGGTATAGGAGGTTGAAGGTTCACGTCTGACCTCTGCTTTATAGGAATCATCCTTGGACTAATTTTGAGTTTGCTTCTCCTTCCCCCTTATGAAGCCAGAGGATGTCAGGCCTGGTCCCTGTGATAGTTTGATTTTGTGTCAACATGACCAGGCCAGGATTGTCAGTGGTTTGGCAGTTGAGGTATAGTTCTCTCCATGATGAGAGCTAATATAACATAATTAGCTCTATGAGGTCTGCTATGAGAAGGCAACCAATTGAGAGGATGTTTCCTCTGGGGTATGGCCTGCTTCCAATATAACGGACACTCAGAAAAGTTTGCTGGGCCTGGATCTCACATCTGGCTCACCCTCCAACTTCTGGTTCTTTGGACTTGCTTTATTAGCTGCCTGCCTGCCAGACTTGCCGCCAGATCTACCTGCCCTGCCTGCCTGCCATCTGACCTGCCAATCTTGGTTCATTTGAGCATAACTTGGGTCTCTACCACCTCTACAACAGTATGAGCCATTTCCTTGATACAAAATTCTTTTTATATATACACATGTATTTCACTGGCTTTGCTTCTCTAGAGAACCCAACCTAAAGATGTTTTCATGCTAATTCTATAGATGTATAAATTGAAGTTCATATGGGTTAAGTGATTTGTCCCATCCTGGTAACAGATCCCACGTGACCCCACATTCTTATCAAGTATTGAGGGAAGATGCGTCAAGGAGCTGCATTTATCTCTGTTTTTATTGTTGTTATGTGCCATGGAGTCGGTTCCGACTCATAGCGACCCTGCACAGGGTTTCCGAGGCTGAAAATCTTTACGGGAGCAGAAAGCCTCATCTTTCTCCCGCGGAGCAGCTGGTAGTTTCGAACTGCTGACCTTGCGGTTCGCAGCCTGATTCGTAACTACTACGCTACCAGAGCTCCTTTGCATTTATCTCTAGAGGCACCAAATTAGGAGCCGGTATCATTATACCAATGAGGGCCTAACAGTAAACAGAAACTACTAGACTATTTAGAACAGAGGTGTCTTAAATGTAAGGAATTGGTTGGTTACACAGGTAATAGAAGAACTGAGATACTGAACAAGATAGTGAGGCAACCCTGAAGTCAGTAAGCACCCTAGAAGGGACTGAGGGAAGATTACCTGTACCTGACCTCAGGTACCTGGACTACTTGGTAGAAGCTAGAACTATACTGGCCTGTCTGGCAGGAGTTGGAACCCCAAGGTACTGTTTGTTACTAGAGACCTAATAAAGGCAGAGGGGGGAAAAATACTAAGGTTTGTCCCTTCTATCTGCCCATCTCTCTTCTACTACTGTCTCCTATTGGCCAAACATAATTGGGAGCCAGCTGATATGGGAGTCTAGGAAACACAGCACTGAGATCACAAGAGCAGGAACTAAGTGAACAAGGGATTCGAGGGCAAACAGGCCTTGAAAATGACTGGACAGAAATGACTCAACGGCAGTGAGGTTTTGCTGTTGTTGTTTTTCAACAGTTAACACTTTTCTCAAAATCACAGCCTCACCACTAACATTCCCTATTCCTTACTCCCTTCTTTGCTCGTTTCTCTTACGGCACTAATCATCATCTGACGCATGATATTTTCCCCTTATTTTTTCATTATCCACTAAAATATAAACTCCATGAGGTGAGGGATTTTTGTCAGTTTTTTTCACTGCTTTATCCCCACTAACATAGTTGGAACACAATATAGAGTTATTAAATGAATGAATTTCATATTGGGAAATTTCATATGGAGAATCTAGATTATTAGATTCTCTTGAAAATATCAGATTTGGCAACATTCCTTCAAATTACTCTGTGGTGACTACTGGCTGGAGTTGTCTTTTTAAGATGAACCCTGAGTTCTCTCCCCAATTTCTCTCAATCCCCATCATGCCTTTTAGTCTACAATAGCCAGCGTCACTCATTTCTACCACCTGCTTGGCATTGGATTTGTGAATTTTGGTGGGGACCACACTACTCATTTTTCATAGAACTGGGGAAACTGAGATATGGTCATATGAAGTGATAGGCCTCGGGCTATACTTGCTGAAAAAGTAATTTACTAGCTGTCTAGCTCAGGGCTTTTGTGATGATTATTGTACCAGATACCAGAGCTTGTCCTCCATGCAGCACTGTCCTTTAACAAAGGAGGCATTGTGCTGGGAGCTTGGGTATACAGCAACAGACAGCAAAACTACGGGTCTGCAAGAAGATGAAAATCTGCTTTTGTGTCACATGGTCAAGTAGATTTCAACTCATATTAAGTCCATGTTACAAAGTGTAACTGCCCCATAGGGTTTTCTTGTTTGTAATCTTTATGAAAGTACATGGCCAGATCTTTCTTCCTGAGAGATGCTCGGTGAGTTTGAACCACCAAGTTTTCAGGTGGCAGCTGAGCATTTAAGAGTTGTGCCATGGGGGCCCCGTTATTTCAGGGGAGTAGCCAATTTTCAGGTGTCAATATTGATATGGAGTCCCTGAGAGACGTAAATAAATTAATGCTGTTGTTATTAAGTGCCGTCGAGGTGGTTCTGACTCACAGCGACCCCGTATAGGGGGGTTTCCAAGGAGTGGCTGGTGAGCTTGAACCACTGACCTTGCAATTCAAGCCGACTTTGCATTCCAGCGCATTAACCCACCCGTCACTGCATAGATCTCTAATAGTTGAAAGTTTCTTGAGAACAGTATCTGTCAGCAAACAGATGTGTACAATGTTTAAATGACCAAATATATTCAACAGGAAGTGTCCTATTGGCTAAATTGGGACTTCCCCCTCAAGTCAACATCTCCTCCCTGACCCTAACCACCACCACCCTGCCCCACCTCTCCCAACTAACTTTGACCCCCTTTCTCTCCTCCTCAGCCCAAGTGCTGGGCACCAGAGAGCCTTTTCCTACCTCCTCGAAGGTTATGTCCACTACAGACACTGTAAAGCACATACAGGGGCACATTCCTCCCCCATTAGTCCGCCCAGGACCCTCTTTTCCCCAACAAGAGTGGGTGGGGGCACAGCCCTCCACGTTCCCGCAGCCTTGTGGACCTACCTTGCCCCCTTTGCTCAGGACCTGCCAAGGCCACGTCTCTGTGCTCCCGAACAGCGAGTTCTTGATCATGCCAAACATGTTGCTGGGGCGCTCAGGACGCAACGGTGGACGCAGGGCAGCAAGCGGGGGGTGGTGGGAGGCCGGGCGAGCGGAGCCAGAAGGGCGGGCCCCGTCGGCTCCGCCCAGCGAGACGGCGCTCGGAGAGGCAGGCTGGGAAGGCAGGCCCTTCAGGACGCGCCGCGCACTGAGTAGGACGTTCGGAGGCGGAGGCGGAGGGCGTTTGGCCACCTCCGGATTCCCGGCAGGGAGCTAGGACTGCGGGCCTGAGCCCGCTCCGCTGTTCTTCCTTGGTTGCGGTGGCCGTAGACTTCCTCTTACACTGAAAACAGATTCTTTATCCTTTAATGTAGAGGTGGCTGTGGTGGGAAACGTCTATCCCTTCTTGTATTTCTATCAAGGAACTATGGTGGCTCCGTGGTTAAACGCTCGACGGCTAATCAGGAAAGGTGGGTATTTCAAACCCACCATGTTCTCTGTGGGCAAAAGCTGTGGTGGTCTACTGCCATAAAGATTGTTGTGGTTATTAAATGCTGTCGAGTCAGTTCCCACTCATTGCAACTCTATATAGGGTTTTTGAGGCTGTAAATCTTTTCAGGAGCAGTAAGACAGAAGGTTGGCAGTTCAAACCCACCAACTGCTCGATTTAGCCGCAGTAAGCTTGGCTTAGAAACCCTGTGGAGACATTCTATCTGCCCTTCAGGGTTGCTGTGGGTGGGAATTGACTCCACAGCAGAGTCTGTTTCTGTCCACCCACACGCTCTCCCTGCTCTGTCCACACCAAGGTTTCCTTCAGGGCAGATGCTGCACAATGTATATTCAGTCTTCCTGTATCCACTCCCCTCCCCCACTCCACCCATACCTAACCACACCTGGCTGCTGCATCTAGATCCACTGCAACTCCCATGTGCCTCCCAACCTCAATTACTTTTTATCCAGACCATTGGAAAACCATCTTTAACTCATTTTCTACCTTCCCACTTCTTTCCATTAATCTGTTTTAATCACAAACTCCACATTAATTTCCCCAAACTTGGCTTTGGTAATTCTCCAATTTAAAACCTTCTGAATCTTGTTTGTTAGTTGCTTCTTATCCAGGTGCTTGCATGTACAGCAAACCCAATCTTTACATTCATTGGTATTTGAGTCCATTCTTGCTGCCACTGAGTATTTTAAGTGTTCTTACCTAGGGCACTCATCTTCCAGCACTGTATGGGAAAATAAATTCTGTGGTGATCACTAAGATTTTCATTAGCCAATTTTCAGAAGCAGATCACCAGGTCTTTCTTCGTAGTCTGTCTTGATATGGAAGCTTTGCTGAAACCTGTCCACCATGAGTGACCTTGCTGATATTTGAAATACTGATGGCATAGCTTCCAGAATCATAGTAATATGCACGTAATATACAACAGATTGGAGCTCTGATACCTTAGTGGTTACGCCATGGGCTGCAAACCACAAGGTCAGCAGTTCGAAACTACTAATTGTTCCAAGGGAGAAAGATGAGGTGTTCTGCTCCAGTAAAGATTTACAGCCTCAGAAACCCTGTACAGGGTCACTATGAGTTGGAACCAACTCAACGCCACACAGCCACCACTATACAACAGATTGATGGATGGGTAGTAGAAACTTCTATATAACCAACCAATTTTATTACTATTGAGAGTTGGTGACATGCCAAGCATTTATCAAATATTATCTCTGCTCTTCACACATGAAAGAGATATTTTTATAGTCATACACAGGAGGAAACCATGGCTGAAAATAATTCAGTAGCTTTCTCAAGGCTATAAACTCATGCTTGTACAACCTGGTCAGGATATGAATCCATGTCTGTGATCTCAATTCTTCTATTGTACTATACATTACTTTGATATTTTTTTTCTAGGTATTATGTTGTCTAGTTATACAAGATTATTAACTTTTATGAGAATTTTATTGTGGTTTGAGAGAAGGTTTACCGAGTACATTAGTTTTCTGTTCAACAATGTATATACATTTTGTTTCATGACATTTGTTGTAATTCCATCAATGTAACAACACTCTTCCACTTCCTTCTTTTTGGGTTGCCCACTTTCATTCATCCTTCTTTCCTGTCCCTACCTGCTTTCTGAACTTTATTTTTGGCATCCTGGTTTGGCTGGCACTATGGGCTAATGCGTCAGACTGCAAAGTCATTTGAACTGCAAGGTTGGTATTTCAAGCTCACCAGCTGCTCCTTGGAAACCCTATACAGGGTCGCTATGGGTTGGAATCGACTCAATGGCACTCAACAACAACAACAACTACCCATTTGGTCTCATATGGTTGGTTGTTCTAAGGGGTTGTGTTCCCCAAGCATGCTCTTGTTCTCTTTATAGGCCATTCTATTGTTTGGCTGAAAAGTGATCCCTGGAGTTGGGTTTAGTTCCAGGTTTGAAGGATGTCTAAGGGTCATACTCTGAGGGGTTACTTTGGACTAATTGTTTCTTTGCATCTTTGATTATCTTCATTTTTCTTTGCTAAAGATAGGAAGAGACCAATAGTTGTGTCTTAGATGGCTGCTTGCAAGCTTTTAAGATCTCAGTCTTTACTCACCAAAGTTACTGTTTTTGTTGTTAAGTGCCATCGAGTTGGTTCAGACTCATAGCAATCCAGTACAGGGTTTCCAAGGAGCCACTGGTAAGTTTGAACTATTGATCTTGTAGCTCAAACCAACCTTGCAGTCTTGCGCTTATCCTACAGTGCCACACCAGAAGTAGGACATAGAATATTGTCTTTGCAGACTATTTTATGCCAATGACTTTGTTATTTCCTGTGGCTATGGTCTTGAGTTCCTAAGTCTAGCAACTCAGCCCCTTAAGGTGTTTGGTTATGGCTAAGTGTTCATACCTTTGTTCCCTGTATGGTCTAATGTATACATGTATATTTGCAAGCATGTACAAATACATATGTAGAAAGATTCTCTGCCAAACCTATAGATACACATTTGGGTGTACTACCAGACTCTATACCATCCCTGTTTAGCTTGCATATCTACCTGGGTATTCATTCATAAATTATTTTTTGTTATTATTGTCATTGCAAGATTATGTGCATAATTATATTTATCATTGTTGCTTGTGATAGTTAAAGCTTTGTATCAACTTGACTGGCTCCGGAGTCCCAGTGGTTTGGCAGTTATTTTATGATATGTGCAGTTAAGACATAGTAATCCCCCATGATCAGATCTAATATATAACCACTTCCATGATGGGATCTGCTATGAGCAGCCAGTCAATTGAAAGAAGCTTCCTTGAGGATGTGGCCTGCAACATCTTAATGAGCAAAGAAAGAGGGACCTACTACCACTCATAAAGAAGAGCATTTGGACCTGGGCCCCATGCGTTGTGAAGCTCCTTCTTGTTGTTAAGTGCCATTGAGTTGATTCCCACTCATAGTGACCCTGTATAGGTTTATAAGAAGCGGCGGAGGAGTTTGAACCACTGGCCTTGCGGCTCAAACCAACCTTGTGGTCGAGTGCTTGTCCTTCTAGCACCACACCAGGACTATTGAAACTCCTAGATCCAGGAAAAGATTGATGCCAAGACACATGGAGATCTCCAAGGAATCCTGGGCCTACAGGTGCTGAAAGGGGACAAGGATATTAGTCCAGAGCCAGCACTCTGAATTTAGATGTCTAGCCTCTTCAAGTGTGAGAGAGTACATTTCTGTTTATTAAAGCCATCCATTGGTGGTAATTCTGTTATAGCAGCACTAGGTAATCCGTTTGAGGACTAAGGTGTGCCTGACCCAAGCCAAGGTATTTTCAGTAGCCTCATATGCATGTGAAAGTTGGACAATGAATAAGGAAGACCATAGAAGAATTGGTGCATTTGAGTTATTGTGTTGGAGGAGAATATTCAAAGTACCATGGGCTGCCAAAAGAACCAACAGATCTGTGTTGGAAGAAATGCAGCCAGAGTGCTCTTTAAAAGCCAGGGTGGTAAGACTTCGTCTCTCATGCTTTGAACATATTATCAGGAGGGACCAGTCCCTGAAGAGGGACATCATGAGTGGTAAAGTGGAGAGCCAGTGAAAATAAGGAAGACCGCCAAGGAGATCGACACAGTGGCATCAGCAATGGGTTCAAGTGTGACAAAAGATGTGGGGATGGTACAGGGCCGGGCGGTGTTTCCTTCTGTTACGCAAAGGGTTGCTATGAAACGAAACTGACTTGACAGCAGATAACAAGACATTGCTTTTCACTATTGTGTACCACTTAGTGTCTTCTTTTACCTTGGTTGTGTTAGCTGACCTACCCCTTTCCATTCATCTGTGTTAATACATGTCTGCTCTCTAGTTAATGATTTCCCTTCCTCCCCCTTTGATTCCTGTTGTTGTGAGTTACTTCTGACTTATAGAGACCTAAGCACAACAGGATAAAACCCTGCCTGGTCCTGCACCATCCTCACAATTGTTGTTACTTTAGCCCAATGCTGTTGCTACTGTGTCAGTCCATCTCGTTGGGGGTCTCCCCATTTTTTGCCCAGACTCAATTTTACCAAATATGATGGGCTTCTTCAAGAACTGGTCCTTCCTGATAATATGTTCAAAGTATGACAGACAAACCTTGCCCTCCTGACTTCTAAGAGCATTATGTCACCTTTCTTTGGAATGGGCACAAATATGGAGCTTTTCCAATTGGTTGGACAGGTAGCTTTCTTCTAAATTCTTCAGCGAGGACATGAATTGAGGAATAAGAATTCTTCCAATACCGATCTGTTTGTTCTTCTGGCAGCCCATGTTACTTCTAATATTCTTCTCCAACACCATAACTCAAATGCATCAATTCTTCTATGGTCTTCTATATTCATTGCCCAGTTTTCATATGCATATGAGGCTACTGAAAACACCATGGCTTGGGTCAGGCACCCCTTAGTCCTCAAACTGATGTCTTTGTTCTTGAACACTGTAAAGAGGTCCTGTGCAACAGATTTGCCTAATGCAATACATCATTTGCTTTCTTTAGTGCTGCCACATTGAATGTTGACTGTGGATCCAAGCAAAATGAAGTCTTTTACAACTTC